ATCGATGCGTTTTTGTAAGAAAAATATCCATATTCAAAACGTAATAATCACTTGAATCTAGCTTGCGCCCACTGTAGTTCCGGGCAGTTCCGGGGGAATGACGTATGAGGTTGGCTTTAAGCATTCGCCGCTCGGAAACGCAGGGGACAGATCAAAACAAAACAACGGTCAAGAATTAGAAGTACTGAAATCCGAGAGCTTTCTGACCCTGCATAGACAGCAACATAACTGACACAATTCAAGGCCCAGAAAAGGTAGTTAGGACATCGTTAAAATAATCCATGTAACATCAGTGGTTTAAACGTAATTTTATGAAGCTATGAGAATACTTTTTCTTTATTCAACAATTTCTTCTCTTCCCTGTCAGTCTTCGACACACATTCATGATAGTACCACACATTTTATAGTATGAGAAGTAAAAAAAAAACATAATATCGTAATATAATTGAAGCTAAATATTTTCCAAATAATATTTTAGAAATATTTATATTAGTGATTTTTCACATTTTAAATTGATTTTAATCTTTAAGCAAGAAACTATAGATGCCTTTTACAATTTTGAGATCGGGGTCCCAAGCATGAGAATGATCGTATTTGGTGGGCCGTGACATCCATAAACACCCTTGCGCTGAGTGATTGCTAGGTGGTAGTTTACTAGCCCAAGTCTAGCTCTCTGTTTGAAATAAAATTGGTTGACTTTTTATTTTTTCATTTGATGGAGGCTTTGTGTTTGGATAACAATATTTAAAAAATTTGTTGGAGCCTTGTGTTTTTTGTAAAGTCAAACTAATTGAAGGAATTTGATGTAATCACTTTATATACTGTATAAATATACCAGTGCGTCTGTGAATTGTCTGGTCTGTCGCCGATTGGTTGATCCCTCCCGGTTCCAGATTCCATCCAGAGCCTCTTAATAATCTCAGCTATGGCAGTTATTTGCCTCTCCGGTCACTGTTTATACTGTCCACGGTAGAAGGTTCCTCACTATTCCAGACGATCTTACAATAGTGTCTAATGGTGTTGTATCACTAATGGAAAATCAGCCTAGTGTCTGTTTACAAATTTTAGCTTCAGCACTTACACGTGAAGAAATGAGGACACTCTGCCATCCAAAATCCCTAGACCTGGTCAAAGATTATGTATGCAAACAAAACAGTCCTTTATGTACATTCATAGAGTTCTTTTATCAAACACTAGTGAAAAGGAAATCCAAGACGGAAGTTCATCATGTGCTGGCTTCAGTAAACCCACAGGAGATTTAACCTGAGCCCAAATCAAGCCGGTTAGGATGGGTGAGCTTCAAGGCTGAAGGATTCAACACCGTCCACTCACAAATACTTTTGGCACCGCTACATGTCCCGTCGCCTGCCATTTTCCTGGGCAGGATCTGAGCAGCGAAATCGCAGATGGAAATAGCTCTTGCTAATACAGTCATCCAAATCATCCCATTACACAGCTGATGCCGCCACCATTGTGGGGAACACCTCTCTATAGAGTTATTTATTGCCGTCATTTCTGCTTGCAAAATAGATTAAGACAGATGTGATAGAGAACTGCTGATGTGTATATGTGTCCTGCATGGTTAGATCCTAACTGGGAGCATTTCATTAGCATTTCATTCAAGTAGATTACTACTTGTTTGTATTACTGTTCTTGCTAAAAGCGGTATGTGCGTGTGTTTTAAATTTGTATCACAATGTTGTGCAACAGCCACATATGTTAGGCTGGAGTTGTAGAGACAGGAAGACAATCAGCCTGAGCAGACCCTAATTTGATGTATTACTCCTGCCAAAAAATCCTGGGTGCTTTTCCATATACCTTCTTCATACTCTTGGGTTTGTGATTTTGTTAGTTCATAGAAAGGCAAGTCAGTCCACACTTGCATATCCTGGTAGTCTGTTTTAAAAAGAATATTCTGGTTTTATTTGTCATGTTTAACTGCGATATATTCCGTTTTTTGGTCGACATGATGAAAGCATCCTCGACCCATTAGCCAAATACTTTTAACTGTTTTATTTTGGTATGAAAAACAACATTGAAAATGGACGTTAACAGAAAATTGCGGACATAAGCATTGGAAAGAAAACACTAATTTGCTTCGGCCATGTCAGGGTCAGCTGGGGTCACGAATGGAATGTATGTTGAAAAAGAGTCATAATTCCCACATGACATCACTGTCTTTAGACTATGATACACTAGTGCATACAGCACTGTGTACATTCATTCATACACTACTGTCACTGTTATTTAAAGAAATTAATACCTTTATTCAGCAAGGATGCATTAAAATGATCAAAAGTGACAGAGTGAAGACATTTGTAATGTTACAAAGAATTTCATTTTTTTTCAAATGAATGTTTTTTTGAACGTTCTATTTATCATAGGATCATCATAAAATTCACAAAAAATACTCAAAAATATTAAGCAGCTCAACTGTTTTTAGCCTTGATAGTTATAAGAAATATTTATTGAGCACATCATCATATTAGTATGATTTCTGAAAGATGTGTGACACTGAAGACTGGAGTAATGATGCTGAAAATTCAGCTTTGCCTCCACAGGAATAAATCACATTTTAAAATATATTAACTAAGAAAACTATTTTTACTAACTATTTTTTAAATTGTAATAATATTTCACAATATTGCTGTTTTTATTGTGTTTTTAATCAAAAATAAATGAGGCCTTGATGAGCATAAAGGGACTTCTTTCAAAAACTTAAAACAAAATCTTAACAACCCCAAACTTTTGAACTGAATATAGAAAATGCCAAAGACACATATTGGGGGATATAAAAAAACGGACAATATAATATGATGTCCATGGTTAATAGGTGCTTTCATTTTACAGAAAAGAGCAACATCGACATTCAACTGAACCTCTCTTGTGTTTTACGGGGAAAAAAAATAAGTTTGGAACAATATGATAGTGAGCAAATGATGACAGAATTGTAATTGTAGGGTGGACAATCAACTTTATTGTTCCTCAAGTGTTGTTGTTTTTTTTTTTTTGTTGCTCTTTTTGGCAGTGAGCAGACACAGTCACTTGAAGGACTTGATGCTGGTGGTGTCTATCATCATTGGAGTGGGGGGCTGCTGGTTTGCCTACATCCAGAACCGGAATTCTAGGGACCACGTTGGCAAGATGATGAAGGACCTCGAAGGGCTTCAGAGAGCTGAGCAGAGCCTGCTGGACATGCAGCAGAAGTAAGCACTCAGTTTGTATTATAAATGAACAGGAAACAGGCTTACAGCAAAAAGCAGCTAAGAGGCCAGAAGGACTTTAAAGTGGAGCTGTGAGGCTCATATTTCATGATGCACAGTTTAAAAAAATGTCTTCTAAATCATCTTATTGAGGCAGGACTACTTTTCTAGATGGAGGAACGTCTGTTTGTAAGTTAGCAATGAATTTCTGTTGGTTGAATTTGAAGAACTGTATTGTAAACAGTCTTTCACAGATGGTTACATCACATCTTAAGCAAAAGAAAACAAAACAAGATTTACTTTTTAACTGGTCATGACATCACAGGATTGCTAAGTGATTTTGTCAGGTCTAGTCTCATGCTAACACGTTAGGGTGATTAATTGCATATTTTAAATGTTTATTCACAGTAAAGCCTGTTGTAGTTACCGTAAACACCTCCACTACACGGTGAGGGATGAATATGAATATGTCTGTGGTAATCAACAGCTTGCCACAGTTAAGTTTGAAAATAACCTAGAAAATACGTTTATTTTTGTTACTGATTGAAAGTACATTTAGTCTGGTTTCTGAATTAGGAGCAGCTATACTTAGTATCGTCAAATGTTTATTTTTATTTGAAATGCTAGTCCGTTCCAGACATCCTGGATGATGAAATATTAGAACATAGAGGCTTTAACAGTGTTGCCAGATTGGAAATGTCCAAGTATCGTACCAGAAGCTCAAAATTCTCGTATTTGCAAGAAAATTATCATACACAAGTCAAATGTACAGAATACAGCTATTTATCTAGACCAACATGTATTGGTTGTTTTCCATGGCAGCTAGTCTTAAAGGGATAGTTCACCCAAAAATGAAAATTCTGTCATTAATTACTCACCCTCATGTCGTTCCAAACCCATTCGTTCATCTTCAGAACACAAATTAGGATATTTTTGATAAATTCCGAGAGCTCTCTGACCCTCCATAGACAGCAAGGATCCTACCATGATCAAGGATCAAAAACGTAGCAAGGAGATCGTTAAAATAATCCATGTGACATCAGTGGTTCAACCGTAATTTTACGAAGCTACGAGAATACTTTTTGTGTGCAGGATCCTTGCTGTCTATGTGACACTAAAGACTGAAATAATGACTGTTGAAAATTCAGCTTTGCATCACATGACTAAACTATATATTTTTAAAAATTAAGTTATTTTAATAATAATATTAAGTAATAATATTTCGATGTTACTACAATGTTGCTGTTTTTACTGTATTTTTGAGCAAATAAATGCAAGAGACTTTTTTCAAAAACTGTATATATTGACCATTTTCAATGGCAGCCAGTCGTAATTAGATAAATAATTCCTAAAAAGTTCATGTTTTATTGAAACATTAATGTTTACAAGATAGAAACTACTACGAATACACACTTATTAGGTCTAAAGTGACTTGATACAAATCTACGCTAATGTTTTATTTAAAGACAAAAAGAGGAATTTGTCTATGCAGTGGAAGTGTTTTCATTTCCTACTATCTTTGTCTGTTCAGGTCAAAAGACTCTTGCAGGGTGATGCAAGCATCCATTTCTTTGACTAATAAAGGAGAAAAATGCATCAACCAACATCCTAGGAAATATTACACTGTAATAATATCACAGATATGCTAAACAAAGCTGATTGCAACTATTTTAAATTGAATCAAAGACTTCTTGTCAATCAAGTGCATCATTAAGCCACATTAATAACTAAATTTAGCCATCCATGTCCTGGAAACTCTAAACAGTCTTCCCGTGTATAGCTGAGAGATGGGATTTCCCTGTAAAGCTGTAAGGAAGTTTTACCACACTGTACAAGCCACATCTTTTTAAAGACAAAAAGAGGAATTTGTCTATGCAGTGGAAGTGTTTTCATTTCCTACTATCTTTGTCTGTTCAGGTCAAAAGACTCTTGCAGGGTGATGCAAGCATCCCTCAAAAGTCCTTAAATGGCAAAAGGACGGGCAGTGCTGTGCCGAATCCGGCTCGGAGTGTTTCAGACAATTGCACTATCATGCTGCACTCTCAGTTCAGCTGGCGCCCACTGCACTGAGGCAGAACAGAGAATGTGTCTCTGTCTTTTTTCAGAGGTCAGAGGTCCCGGAGAAACTCATCATTCAAACATTTTTTCTTTACGGTGCATTAATTTAAAGCAATGGCCTTATAAGGAGAAGGATGCAGTTTGGTGATCTATATTAGTTTGTTCAAAGAAAAGAGGAATGTTTGTTGAGTGTAATGTGATTAAGTCACAGTGTAGGTATGGCCGGTGTTTCAGAGCAGCACATGGATCTGAGTGCGTGGCATTTCTGTCATATCCTTCACACTAAATCCCGTTTGGCACAGAGATCAGGACACCTTGTTTCCACTTCCGTCCTGTGTGATGCAACTGGCAACTGTGGCAAAAGGCTTTCATATTTTACATTTCATATTTCACATATCTGTCTGTATATACACCTATCTATCTATCTATCTGTCTATCTACTGTATATATCTATGTATTTGTCTGTCTATCTATCGTCTGCCTATATATCTAGCTATCTAGCTGTTGTCTGTCTGTCTATTTATCTATCTGTCTGTCTAAGTTTTTTTTCCTTATGAATTTTTCTGCGTGTTCTCTGCTGTTCATTTCCTTCCTTTTCATTTATCTTCTGCTCCCCTCCAAGTTATGAGTGTTACACTCTGCCTTGGCCGTTGTCATATCAGTGACAGTTTGATTTATACCTCACTTCCTGTTTGAACTGGGACTACGTCAGCAGGTTCAGCTGTCATGAGAAGGAAGAGGTGTGGTAGTGTTTTGCGGGTCCAGTTCCCTTTTCATGTCTGTTTACTCTTTTCTGCAGCGTGCCACCTGCTGATGACTGAGGGAAACTACATTAACTGGTTGGTTAAGTAACAAGTCTATGGTGGTTCAGTGAGATTGATAATGTGTTTATGTTTAGGCTGCAGATTGCACAGGAAGAACATCACACGGTGGCGGAGGAGAAGGTCAACCTGGAGCGGGAGATGCGAAACGAGATTGATGCAGCAAAGCAGGAGGCACAAAGACTACGAGAACTGCGTGAGGGAACCGTGAACGAGTTGAGCAGACAGAAATATGCAGAGCAAGAGCTGGAACAGGTATCACAAGGCCTTATTAACAGGAGGTACAACTTGTGAGAAGGATTTTTTTTTTTTACTTTAATCAAAATGAAACCTTGCCAGATGCAACAACTTTGCCACAGTCATTTATTTCAAATATGCAAATTAGGCATTGCCTCATTAAATATGTACAATGTTTCACAAAAAAAATATGATATAGTCCAGTAAAAATACAACGCCACAATTCATTTAAATGCATAGCATTTATAAAAACATAAGATAAAAAAAAAAAAATGGTAAATCTATTATTTACATGCAAATCTACAAATCTATTATTTGAATGCAAAATATTGCAAAAAGTTTAATAGTTATATAAAAGTTATCATTTATATGTGTAGTACCTCCCCTTAAATTTATTTTGTTGAAAAGAGGGTACTTTTTTTCTATCAGTCTTCCAAACTCTAGTAAAATAATAGCATGTTTATACCAAAACACATGCCACTTTTCACCATTCGCTTATTAGCAACATGTTTGGATACCCTCGCAGACTCACCTTAAGTTAACAGGTGTCCCATCACCATGGGAACTGCTGAAGTGGCACAGAAGAGGTTTTACACAATTCCCTCCTCAAAACATTGAAACACAGCCAATATTTATGAGCTTGTGTTTGTTTTAGGTGCGAATGGCTCTGAAGAAGGCTGAAAGGGAGCTGGAGTTGAGGAGCGGCTGGTCTCCTCCTGAAGCTCTGCAGAAATGGCTGCAGCTCACACACGAGGTAGAAGTACAGTACTACAACATTAAGAAACAGCAAGCGGAAAGACAGCTCATAGTTGCTAAAGAAGGGGTAAGATGTTCAAATACTCATAGATTACATGCTTTAACTGAATATTAAATCTATTTAGCCTGTTCTACTAGCTGAACATCCATTAATTATGAAGTTGTGGCCACAATAACAGGCAGAAAAAATCAAGAAGAAGAGAGGAACTATCTTTGGGACGTTCCATGTGGCCCACAGCTCTTCACTGGACGATGTTGATCACAAAATCCTCTCAGCCAAGTGAGTCACCAGAGATAAAGACTCATTTTAACTTGCACAACTAAAAATTAAAGGTTCCAAAAGGAGGGCTTTTTAAAATAACTATTTTAAGAACTTTTTAATAATCTGAAGAACCTTTTGGAATGGAAAGGTTTCATAGATGTTCTTCATGGAACCATAGATAAGAACCTTTTTTTTTTTTAAAGGGGTCACATGTGAGTATAAGGGTTTTTTATGAATCTTTGCAAATTGCCTTTCCTAATAATGTGCTAGTTAGCAAGTTTCATGGCTAAATGCAGCTAAAGTAAACAGGACAGCTGCACCCCACAGAAGAGAGGGGCGGGGTGAGCAGAGCTCTTTAGCATTTAAAGGGAGATGCAACAAAACGGCTTGCTCTGAAAATAGCTGATTTTAACAATGTAAAAAGGGTGTCTTTTACAGTACCACTGAGAAATTTTTACCAAAGTATGTTATCAACTTGTGGAAAATGGGCATCCGATGACCCCTATAAGAGTGTAGAGCAACCAAACCAAACCTCACCTTTCTTTCTCTCTCACTTCTGCAGACAGGCCCTGGGAGAAGTGACCGCTGCTCTGAGAGAAAAGCTTCATCGATGGCAGAAAATTGAGATTCTGACAGGGTTTAATATTGTCAATAACCCTGGCATGTCGTCTCTGGCCTCTGCCCTCAACCTGGACCCTGCTTTCCTGGGCATCCGCCCTGCTGTACCCCAACACTTACTGCTATCCAATGACCTAGACGACATGGATGAGGACATACTTTCCCCAGGAACCCTGCAATGTGAGTTTATCACACACACATTTTTTTAATAGTGCTGAATCTGATCATATTTATTATAAAGCTTCTCAGCCGTCTATAACCATATTAAAATGATCCTGTGGACGGTTTTCTAACCCTAATACATGGCGATTACGCTTTCCGTTGAGCTTTGCCTTTTTGTGGTGTGATATCATTGGCTAATGTCTACAGATGCCGCCTGGCAGATGGATCGGCGAGTGAGCGACCTCTGGCCTGTGGCTTCCGAGAGCCAATCCCTGTGGAAACCAATCCCTTCTGGTTGGCAGCACCCCCTTTATTCTCTCAGCCAATGCTAACACAAAGCAAACCCTTCTATGTCACTCCTACTGCCCATTTAAGACCTTCTAGATGGAAATTGTGAATCCAGCTCTTAAACAGACACATTTAATCCTTTGTTAAAGAGGTCATATGATGTTGCTAAAAATAACATTATTTTGTGTATTTGGTGTTAAGCGACCAGCACGGATCAGCTCTAGGCATGACGAAGCGGATATCGTCCTCTTTTGGAAGACCAAACAAAGTAGTTTCGCTTTTACAATGAAACACACAGCACCTTCATGACATGGCGGCGGCGGCAACAACAATACTACAGCGAGAATAAAAGTTACGCCTTCTTTCTTTGCGTGAACATTTGGGCGGTGTTATGCAAATCTTCCCACATCGTGACGTAGACATGTGGGGGCGTGTTAGAACGAGCCGTTTTAGTTAGGCGTGGTTGACTCTTAACTTTTATAAAGAATATCTCTTTGGATTTGAGACTTTAGTCTTTGCAACTTTACAGATCTTCTTTATGCACCAAGAGCTTGTAACACTCCAAAGAGAAAGGAAAAATTGAAATCGCATCATATGACCCCTTTAACATTTATTTTTGTTCGGTGTTGCTGGGTTTCTAGGTTAGTGATTCACAACGTGTCTTTAGCACAGCAACTTGGTGTTAGCATTGCTAAGGCTAACCCAGAGTTAAAATCAAGCTGTCAACCCTGGTTTTACAATTAAGGGGGTAACATTTTGTTAAACCCTGGCAAAAAGCAGTTAAAAAAAAATCTGTTAACCCAGTGTTAAGCACAGTGTGCAAAGTCTGTATTTAAACTTACTACACGGCTCTCTGGAATATTCTGAATGGACGATTAGAACATTCTGTGCATAAATGATTTTGTACATTGATTTTGTATATACTGTTAAATTTGTATAATTTGTTGTTGTCGCAAACCGACAATGGGTTTCATTCACTAACTGTGCATGCATGCGAATTTGTACATGAAATCTGCGTACAAACAAACCATGGTTCTTCAGTAACTGAATATTATTCTAAATGTAGGAACAACTGAAACCAAACATACGTAAAAAAAATCATTCTTGGTGGCCTTATTAATGTTTAAATAAATGGTTTAGTCTATTTCAACATGAAAACCTCGGGCACGCCGTTGCTCATTTAGAATACTCTAAATTTCATGACATTATGACAATGTTCAGAAATTCATGTGGTGTGAATTAGGCAAGAATTTTTAGTGAAAAGTTCTCATGTGCATGTAAATATTCATGATCTACACAATTATTGGTGAATGAGACCCAGTGTCCTAGTTAGCTGTGCTGATTTCACATCTTTCGTGTCACTCCATGGTCTTCTGACATAAAATTGTTTCACTCAAATCAATATTTCATGGCCATTTATTCATTAGTTTAGTAGCCGTGTAATAAGTGCATAATGTACAGTCATCGTCCCTTTTGTTTCATACAGCTAACATTACTGCATTATTTTCGTGCAGGCTGAAAACCGCATGTCTATCATCGCTCAGTTTTTGTGGACACTGATCCTCTTCGCTCTGCAGTCTTGCAATGCTTTTACACTTTTGTGTGTTCATTTCCTGTGCCACATCATCAGCTCTGTTTCCTCCCTAGCTCTGTTTTCCTTCATTAACCACAGTTAATGTGCTTTTATCACTGTATCACACACTCCTCCCAGATGTGACTTCCAATGTGTGTTCATCCTTTGTAACAAAGGCAGGCGTGAAACATTAACCTACATGTGATGAAAAGATTAGATGAAAGATGTAAAATGAATAAAATCATGATTAGTTAATCTAGTCACAAATCAATTTCTGTTGTAAAATGTAACAGATACACAGCCCTCTGTTTTGGACGACCTATAATATTAATTATGAGACAGAATCTTGATTAGATTTTCTCAGAGACTGAATGATTTGAATGTCCGCTCACTAATACAGACAAACATCTGTGTGTGTGTGCCTCTCCTCAGCTCCCAGCCTGACGTCCCTGCGGTCGCGACACGGAGAGCCTGTGCTGAACCTGAGCTCACAGAGGTTGGTAGAGGCCGGTGAGAGTGAGGCCGGGCCCCTGTGGCCCCCCGGTCGCCCCTATGTGTGGCAGGCTCGCAGCCACTCGATCGGCCACGTGGAGTTTCTCCCTGTGCCTTCGCTGTCTTTCTCTCTGTCTCATCCCTCCATCGTCTCTACCTCACTCCTATCTTCCTCCTCCGGCTCTCGTTTTGCTGCGCTGCAGTACCGTTCCTCATACTTCACCTCTATGGAGGCGGTCTCAGGTCTGCCGCCAACTGCTTCACGCAGTGATCAGAGAACTGAAAGCACTGGGTACCTCACACACTGTTTGCTGTGCACACACACAGCATGTGTGTAGGCCATCCATAACTTCCCTGTTATTGATACATTTCTAAACTGTTTTCTATGCTAAACAACAATTTGCTAACAAAGTTCTTTTTATTTAGTTTTCTGTGAATGTCAATTTTGTATCTGTAATACATTATAATTATAATATATTTACTATATTATAATTTCACTTGTCATGAACTGTAACCTTTTTAGTCAATTTCCATTTAACTATTTAAATGTAAACACAGTGAGAAACCGAACTAATCCAGCATGAAAAAGTCAACATGAAATCAAAGTTTACTCCATTTACTTTCTTTACAATCATCCCTGGTCTTATTGTGCTTAATTTATCAGTGGACATTATTCTAGTGGGGGGGAAAAAACTTTTTTTTTCAAGTACAAAAAGTACTTGAAAATAAAATGAATGAATGAATGAGGAAAAAGTAACAAAACTATGTAAAAATAGAAATATTTCAAAAACAATAACTAATAAAATTACAAAACAAAATTAAACAGAAAATACAAAACAAAAACAAATAATTCTAAATATTGGAAAAAGTATTTAAAAAAAAACAATAATTAATAAAATAACAAAACACAATAAAATTCATTAAACATCCAAATTAAAATGAAAACAGAAAATACAAAACAAAAAAATTATTCAAAATATTACAAAAACAGTAATAAAATAACAAAACACAATAAAATTCATTAAACATCAAAATTAAAATGAATACAGAAAATACAAAACAAATAATTCAAAATATTTTTTTCAAATATAAAAAAATAAACTAATCAAATAAAACACAATCAAATTCATTAAACATCATAATTAAAATGAAAACGGAAAATACAAAACAAAAAATAATTCAAAATATTGGAGAAAAAACTACAATACTAAAATAGCGCTGGCTCTGCCTCTGAAAAAAACTTTTTTAGGAGGTGATATTTACTTGGGCTGTACAGATAGGGAAATATTTTTTCTATGTATAACTACTTATCATAATTATAACATATTCATTTAATTATTTTATAATGTTATATTTTTAAATCATTTGAATATTTTCAATAATTCTGCAGTTTTTAAATAATTCTGTTTTGGCTTGTTTAAGGCTACTGCTGGAGTTTTTAATTTTGCCAATGCATTAAACAATGCAGCAATTTAATGCTGATTAACATTGCTATAAATAGTAAGGTTGTGGGAATAATAGCAAATCATGATAGATTTTTAAAAAGTCATTGAAATAAGTTAGAGACTTTTGAGAGTCAACTTGACTTTGACTTCTCAGTCAAAAGTGCAGTTGGTCGTTGAGGTGTTTCAGGAGGGGTGTAGTCACCACCATATTCCACTGCAAACTGCATTTACAATGTTTCACTTTGAAAAACAGCGCTTTATCGAAGTAAATGAGTTGCGAGTGCGGTTTCATGTTGACATGAAGTTGAAAAATTGAAACTAACAGGAAATGCAAATGCGTCGATTCTGAAATCCTCTTCTCTCCTTGGCCCGTCCTCTAGGGATCTGAACCGGTCCGAATCGGATTCCTCTCTCTCAGTGTCTCAGTACGGAGACGCCCAGCGCTGCACCTCAACTCCACTCAACAGTAAGCTGTCCAGATCCAATGGTGGTTCCTCCACCGACAGCCCACTGCTGCAGAAAAAGACCTTTGGCATGGAGAAGTGTGCCAGTCTCGGAGAGATCCACTCTCAGCCGTCTAGCCTCACCTCAGCCGACTCGATGCGCTCTCTCATCTACACCTCCGAGCAGGACGGCCCGTCACTGCCAACAGGAAAGGGTGGCAGCCGAATCTCTCAGATCACAGGCAAGAAGATCCTGGTGGACGAGGACAGCGGCTCCACAGGAGACGACGCTGAAGGCTCCAACACGGGCCGCAAGAAGAGCACCTTTACCAAACTCTTCAAGAGGCCGAAGAAATGACAGCAGTATGGGGAGATGCCAAACACAAGAGTAAGACTAGCACAATGGTACATTTTAATCATGAAGAGTTTTAGGAAGACCATGTCATTTATGTGGAATTTTTGATTTATATCGTAATTGTGTCGACCAACGGGAACAGAAACAGTCATTTGTTGGGAACAGGTATGATATCGCTGTACATTTATTTATTTGCTTCTACAACTAAGGGCGCTAGATGGTATTGTCCATTTTTGGTGTGAGAGTTACTTCTGTTTTTATTGGTAGTTAGCGTGAGCTGGAGCTTTCACTCTCAAAACAAACACCAAACGCATGCAAAGGCTTTCAGCGCATACAAATGACTCCACCTACTCTACGCTGTTGTTTTACATAGGATTTGCTTGGACTTCTTTCCTTTTCACATGCAGCCCATCATTGTGTTGCCAGAGGAAACAATTGGCTGTAAATGTTACCGTTCACGTCCCCCTGCTGAAAACACACCACAGTACGAGTATGCAGCATCTGTGTGTGTGACGGATGTGAGGCGGAAAATATCTTGTTACTTGCTTTAGATTTCTCCTTCTGTTATCAAAATCTATTTTAAAATGTTTCAACTTGTTACTTCCTCACAGAGGTGCCTTTCATTTTAAGCACTGCCTAATGTTATTGCTGTGAACTGCCTGTGTTTGAGTCACAGACAGGATATGTACTGTAGTTCTTGTCTCTGGCTTGTAATTACATGCCTTTAACTTCATTCATGCTTCATGCCACTGAAGTCTTTTAATACCTGAGAAGTAATAAAATAAGATATAAAAAGGGAGGGTGTTTTGCAAATTAAAAGTCGCATGCTAACATAAACTGGGGAGTTTCTTTTATTAATAAAAACACTGAACTTTACATTTTCATATAAATTTCGTCTTTATTAGTAGCTATTTGTTTTCACATTCATTTTTTTTATTTTAATTTTGGCAGGCTTTGTAAGGAAAATTAAATTACTAATTGTATTTTTTAATTTGAAAATGTGTCATCCCAGTGAAAATCTAAATGAAATAAAATTTTATTTTTAATTTTAATTTTGGCAAATACTCAACCATTCATACTGTAAGTTTGGGGCCAACAAGATTATTAGATTTTCTTTAAGAAATAATTATACATACACATATATATATATATATATACACACACACACATATATATATTTTTTTTTTCAGAAATCACTTTAGTATGCTGATTTGATGCTCGAGAAACATTTTTTTTACTATTTAGCAATGTTGAAAAAGTTGTTTCTTGATATTTTTTAGAAACTGTGATATATATGATATGATGTATATAAAGCACAAGCAGAATGAGGTACAATTTAATATTTTCTTAACCAAAAAGAACAATATGTTTGATAGTTCTCAGGGCTAAACAGGTTTATAGGGTAACTTCCTCTGCATTGCATTTTTTGAAAACCTCTTTGCATCATGGAGCTGTTGATAAATCTGTAAATGTTAACCTTTACAGGAAGTAGCTATTCCATCACTGTTCACAGAAATCCACTGTGAAATATACACCAACGCAGCAGACAGACCCAACACCACACATATTCAGTCACTGAGTGGATATATAAACCAAATTCTTGAATTGTTCACGCAGGCTAAGCTGAACACCATGAATACCAGAGCTTTTTTTTTGGCCAGTGCACTCTGTACACATTTCTCTGGTGTATTTAACATCTCCTGAAGGTTTGTTTGCATCAGCCGCTGTGGAGCAGAACATTAAATGGCTAGGCACACTCAGAGAAACCATCTAAATCAAGATAGCTCGATGAGTTAGTGTCCACAACAAAGCCCCAACAAGGTCAGGTTTGCCATTGTTACCATAGTGCTCCGAATAAACAAAGCTGTTTTCAGCGCCTCTTCTGTCATAAGGAAGTTTGCTTTATTCATAGTGTGCAGGGCCTTTGTAGACCACTGAAATAAGCTGAATCTGCCCATGATAAACAAACAGCGTCTGCTGAGAACAGTTCATGGAACCATTTTGATTTTATTTGCTGGATTTGTGGCTTTTAATTTTAATTTGTGGCTGTTTTTATACAGCATATTTAAACATTCTAAAGAGGCTTTACAATGCCTCTTGTACTACAGTTTATTTTATTCGTGTGAACAGTTACTATTTCAAATAAGTTCTGTTTTGTTCAACAATATCACCTAAAGGCATTGACCTGATTTGATTTGACCTGGCTCTTGTGAATGAAAAGCAGATCATGTTACTAGTTCTGTTACCTTTTAAAATAAGCCTATACACTCTTTGATGAAAAGACTTGTTGAACATGACATCATGACATGATGAACGGCATGAAATGGAATCCTTAGGACATCATGAATTCAGCCAAAGAATCCAAATGTCCTTTGCGTGTCTCTGGCTTTGGCTTTATGCCCGGTACTATGTCAAACGAGTAATCGCAGCATAAATAAAACAAAAAATTGAAATAAATGTCTTTTATACAATTATTTAAATGTTCATTTCAATCCAGCTTGACTGGTGAGTTAGAGTGCATGATTCTCCAAACAGAAGTCCTCACCAGTACTTGTCCTTTTGAGATGTCCCGCAGTTCCGACCTCCCAACACTTGGGGCAGTGTTATGCCTCGCTTATGGCCTCCCAGTTCATAGCGGTGAAGTCCGCTTCAGTCAGGTTAACTGTGAAGGGTCCCTCAACTCGCTGAGGCTCCACATGCTGCTCCTGAGAGGTCGTGTTTATGTTGTTAACACGCCAGGAATTGAGGGGACGGATGGATTTCTGGAAGCGCTGAATGTAAGAAACGTATGTCAGCATGAGCATGTCACACACATACCTGCTGGTACAATTCTAGACAAGAAAAATTAACTCAGGCACATTATATATTTAATTAAAAATTATCTAAAAATGTACATTAACAAAAATACTTAAATTTCAAAAATTGATTTGATTAAAAATACAGTAAAACCATTAATATTGCGATATATATTTACAATTAAAAATAACTCTCTTCTATTTTAACAAGTTCTAAAAAGTTATATATTCCTGTGATGGCAAAGCTATATTTTCAGCATCATTACTCCAGTCTTCAGTGTCACATGATCCTTCAGAAATCATTCAAATATGCGGATTTGGTGCTCAAGAAACACTTATTATTATTAGTGCTGTCAAAAGATTAATCGCGATTAATCGTATCCAAAATAAAAGTTTTTGTTTACATAATATATGCATGTGTGCTGTGTATATTTATTATGTATATATAAATACACACACATGCATGTATATATTTATTTAAAAATGTTTATATATTAAATATATTTATTTATAATATAAATTATATGAATATAAATATAGACATGTAAATACATGTAAATATTTTCTAAATATATACTGTATGTGTGTGTATTTATATATACATAATAAATATACACAGAACACACACACATACATGTATATTATGCAAACAAAAACTTTTATTTTGGATGCGATTAATCTTTTGACGGCACTAATTATTGTCAATGTTGAAAACAGTTGTGCTGCTTAATATTTTTGTGGAAACCATGACACAGGATTTGTGTGATGAAGAAAGGTCAATAGAACAGCATTTATTTAAAATAGAAATCTTTTGTAACATTCTAAATGTGATTTTCGAAGATTTTATGCATTCTTTCTGAATAAAAGTATTCTTTCTTAGAATCCTACTGACCTCAAAAGTATAAATAATTATGGTGGTTTGATGTTTTGAAGAGACTTACATCTTTAAGAGTGCCAGACTCTTTACTGACTGCCACTATGGCCCAGATGAGAATCTGCAGACAGCAGAAGGCACCCATACATACGCCCAACGCTTTGCCCCAGGTCGGGTACACATAGGTGCCGTAGTGCAGAGACGTACGGTACATCTCGATGAAGATGTAGGTCAGGATGAACTGTATAGAGAAAACAATCTCTTACCATTTTGAATATAAAGACTGAGGCCTCACTCTGTGAATGGGACTATCACTGTCAGTGAGATACAGTGTCTCAGCAACTGAATTATTCATTACACTGGATGCAGAACAGACATGGTGTTTGATTCCACTCTGCAGTAAAGCCAAGTTTCTGACAGTACTGTAGTATGATTCTGCTCAAACCCTTCTAAATGAATATTTCTATATAACATTTACAATTATATAACTGTTCATCTTAAATAGAAATCTCATGCATCATTGCATACTAAAACATGAGGGTGATTCCAATAAACCAAACCAAAAACAGGACACCCACCGTTAGCAGGAAGGGGGTGAAAACCACCCAGCAGGCTTTGAAGTACAATAGCAGTTTTGTGCACCAGGGAGGACAGCGACAGATCATGTCCACAATGTCCTGACAGAACTGGTTCACCCCTGCAATTACATCAGCATATGCAATAGTTTGTTAGTTTTTTCATAGGAACAGATTTAAAGAAGTTAAACATTACATCACTTGCTCACCAGTGGATCCTCTGCAGTGAATGGGTGCCGTCAAAATGAGAGTCGAAACAGCTGACAAAAACATTACAATAATCCACAAGCAACCTTGTGAAGTGAAAATATGTTTTTAAAAAAACAAATCCATCATCAAGGCGTTTTACCTTTAAACCGTTGCTTCTGGCCAAATTACGAGCCCATAATTTTCACAACTCATCCAGTAAAAAATTCCATCCTCTCATCTTCTCACATCAAAATGCACAGACATATTTGTTTAGAACTGTTTTTACTTGTAATAGGTGCTTGATCGTGCGTATTTCTCTCCTGATTCAGACGAGGCGATTTTTTCCACTTACAAACACGGCAGTTTATCACTTTACAAGGCGTTAATTGATGGAGTGGAGTCATGTGGATTACTTGTGGATTATAGTGATGTTTTTATCAGCTGTTTGGACTCTCATTCTGACGGCACCCATTCACTGCAGATCATCCATTGGTGATCAAGTGATGCAATGCTAAATTTCTCCAAATCTGTTCTAATAAACAAACAAACTCATCTATATCTTGGGTCACTGAAGTTTGATTAAATTTTCATCAAATTTTTATTTTAGCATGAACTATTTATTTAATGTTCAAGCTGTGAAAATGTGATTGAGCAGAAATGTGTGTAGACTTTTTTTGACAAAAATATGTCATCCATCTAAAATAAATAAATCCTTATTATTTCATGCAACTCAGAAAACGAAGCAGAATATTTTATAAAGTGCCTCTGAAAAAACTGAATATGTGTTCCTCATCAGAAGCCCTACCAATATCAGCCCATCACCCAGGATGAAATTAAGTGTACCATAAAAGAATGAGATGCCAATACACATGAAGAGAGTAATGATGATGAGACCAAAGCTTGTGCTGAAGGAGTCAATGAGCGTGAACCAGTATATCCCACCCTGTGATGGAAAAACACAAAACAAAATGTATATGTATATGACAACAAAAACACTGATAGTGTTAAAAGAATCACTAATGGACATTATGAAGATAGACAAGTTGATGAATTATGATATGAAACATTACAGATACATTACTAAACTCTGGACATCTGTACACATGTATTTATCAAAATGTCAGCTACTAAATCCTATTATCGGTCGGTTTGTTGCTCTTACATCAGTGATGAGCAGCAGGCCCATGAGATAGAAGGCGAAACAGAGCAGCGCCAGGAACAGCGTCTTGTGCTTCAGATTGGATCTGAGCTGAGGAAACTCATCCATCACAGCTGTACAGATCCCCTCCATGTTACCAAACTGCAGGATAGAGAGAGAGAACTTCACAATAGCAAGAATTAAACAAAGGACTAACCTGTCAGGAGTGTACAAATATGTCATAAGTTTCCCCGACATCTACATCAACAAAATGAAACAGATCCTCGGTTTGCTGTTAAGGCAACACAAGGACTGCCGTGTGCCATCATCTGTTTGCTCTCACATTCACATTTATGCATTTGGCAGACATTTTATTCTTATAAAGCTATATTTTACCTGTATGTGTGCATCCTGGGAATTGAATCTGTGACCTTAATTATGGTAGTGCCATGCAAACC